TTCAATGGCTAGTTGTGAGCATCTGCCTCTGAATATGTCAGACTCTTGAAGACCTCTGAGGAGACATCCATATCAGTCTCTTATCAGCATGCACTTCATGACTTCCACATCAGCATCTACCTTTGGTGACTGCACATGGGATGGATACTCAGGTGGAAAGGTCTTCAGACGGCCCCTCCTTCAGTTTCTCTCCCTCACTTTGTCTCCATATTTGCTCCCTTGAGTATTTTGTTGCTCCTTCTAAGAAGGACCGAATCACCCCCACTTGGTCTTCCTTCTTTATGAGCTTCATGTGGCCTGTGAGTTGCATCTTGGGCATTTCAGGGTTCTGGGCTAATATCCAATAATCAGTGAGTGAATACCATGTGTGTTCTTTTGTGATTGGCTTACTTCACTCAGGATAATTTCTAGTTCCATCCATTTACCTAGGAAACTCTTGAATTCATTGTTTTTAATAGCTGAGTAATACTCCATTGTGTAAATATACCACATTTTTTGAATCCATTCCTCAGTTGAAGGACATCTGGGTTCTTTCCAGCTCCTGGCTATTATAAATAAGGCTGCTATGAACATAGTTGAGCATATGTCTGAAAACAGTACATAACAGATCTTATCACTAGCTTATCACAGATCTTATCTATTAAGCTGCTCTTATCACTAGCTTCCAAAGGTGTTGTCAGTCAAGTAAACTTCCATGTATAGAGTTTATCAGCCCATCTGAGGCTTTCTGCTCATTAGTGTTTCAAGACATGCATACGATATATTTCGATCATATGCACCCCCTACTTCCCATCCCTAACTCCTCTGAGATTCCCTGTTCCACGCCACCTTCAAACTTTATGTTCTTTCTCTTCTTTCTATAATGTCCCAATGAGTCAAAAAAAATGAATCTCCAAGGACTACATTATGAATACTTAATTTTATCAAAATATACAAATTCCTTTTGTATCAGGACTATGAAAATATACATATGTCCTAGTCAGCATTAGTTGTCAGACACAGCTTAGAGTCATGTGAAAGAAAAGTCTTGACTGAAGAACTGCCTAGGATAGATAAGGCCTGTGGGCAAGTCTGTGGAGGATTATCTTGATTTGTAACTGATATAAGAAGGTCCAGCCCACTGTAGGTTGTGCCATCCCTAGGCAGATGTCTTGAACTACAAAAAGAACGATAACTACGTAAGAGCCTCTAAACTAGCCAACAAATAGCTGTCCTCCATGGATTCTGCTCCAGGTTCCTGTCTTGATGTCCCTCACTGATGGTCTTGGTGTGAAGAATTCCTGGAATCTGTCTTCATAGGTTGATGGACTGATAAAAAATCTTCAGTGAATACAGATTTTTTGCTGTTGTTGTTTATCTGATACACTAATTACAATTTCTCTTGGACTAACATTAATACCCAAAGAGCTTCCTTAGCCACCTCAGAGTCTGACATAATATCCCGATCAAGAGTTAACAATCTTTGAAATGTATTAACAAAAACCCATTCTCTACCAAAAGGCTAAGAATGCAATCAGATAACATTTGAGGCCTGTAGTTGAGATTCTTCTGCCTGCTATAACTGCCCACATACTGTTCTTATCAATGTATTTTTAAAGTGCTCTAATTTATAACTTTCTTTGTACTGTACTATAAAAAATCCATGAAACTATTACCTCATTGAAGGGTTGTATTTGGGGAGATGTTAATATATGTTTCCAGGCTATGATCACTCAAAGGCCATAACAAAATTTCAACATACACACACATACACACACACACACACACACACACAGACACACACATATCAATGGGTAACAGCCTAAAAACCAAAAAGTCAGAACAAAATATTTTAAAATACAGATAGTTTTATAAATCAACCTTCTTCCACTTATTCATCCAGAATAAAACATAAAAAAACTATGTTGTATCCTAATCCTGATGTGTCAGAATATGATTTTTTGAGATAAGATTTACATGAAGGTAATCAAATAAAAATGAGGTCATTATGTGGCCCTAATCTAATATACTTTTAAAATAGTAAAATACAGACACAGAGAGAAAGACATGTATAAAAGACAATGTGGAGACAAGGGGGATGCCATCTGTAAGGTAAGGGATAGCTAAGCAACAAGAAATGAGAACGAATGAATAGAACCGACACTCAGCAATCAGAGGGAATAGTCTGGCTGACACCTTGCTATTAGACTGGCCTAGTCTGAAACCTCACGACAATACATTTCTATTTTACTAAGCCACTCAGTTTGGGGTGATGCCTTACAGAAGTCCTGGAAAAACAAACACACTCATTCCTACCGCTACTAGTACTAGTTGCGGTGTTGGCAATAGAAGCCAAAGCTTTATACATACCAAGCCAGTATTCTGCCACTTAGCAGTATCCCCCAAGCTTCATGGGAAACAGTTAACCTCTATAATGAGGAACTTAGCATGACTACAATGCTTGGAGAGATGGCCTAGTGAGATAGTAACATTAGACCAGTTCTATTTTGTTCTGGTTTATTTTTGTTTTGGTTGGTTGGTTGATTTTCTATGAAGTCTGTAAGACTGAATTGCTGTGGCTCAGTAGGAAGAGAGGGGAAAAGTGCTCCGTATTATTCACTGTCATACACTGCCTGCAGAAGGATCTCCAGATGAGACACCTCAGTGTAGGAACTGGCACCCTAAAGAAATCTCTTTCTGTGTTAGGTACAAATCTCTAATACTGTTTTAGTAGCAAAAGAATGCACTAATTAGTGATTAAAATACATAGCATTTTTCTCTTGAAAACCTCAGCTTATAAAAAAGATTTACCTCTCTCCTTGACCATCTCTGAGATGAGACGCTGATCTTATTTGCCTTTGGACTCAAATTGAGACTTAAACATGAACTTACACAATGAGTTCTGGTTCTACAGCCTTAGGACTCAGACTGGACCTATGTCTTTGGTTCTCTTAGACCTCCAGTTCCTAAGTAGAGATCTAGAACTTTTCAGCTTCTACTTCTGGATGAGTCAATGACAATTTAATGTAAATAAACTGATATGAAAATAGAATATGGATTAATATATATGAGTATATATGTGTGTGCATACACACATGCATACACATGCATACACCTATATATAATTAACTGTGTTATAACTGATTGCTAACAACTTCCTCTCATAAATATGAATTAGAATTTATGTGTTCTCAAAGGCAAAGCAATAAATGAGCAGAGAAGGAATTTAAATACATGGCATATAATAAATTCAGTTGAAATAGAAATCATAATACATAAAATATTCAGTTGGTATTTTCATTGTGTTTGCATTTGCCTGTTTTGGGTCGGCATGCTTGGAGGTTGAACTCAAGGCTGCGCATGTATTAGGCAAGTATTCTACCACTGAGCTACCAAGCGAGCTCTCCCCGCTTCTCCTGGAAAAGTAACTGATAGGAAGCCTTCATTATCTAATTCATTAGATTTAGAATCACCTAGAAGAAAGATCTCTTGGTGTGTCTGTGAGGTGATTTTCAGACGATGAGGGAAGCTACACTCTGAATGAAGCGGCACCACCATCCCAGGATGGAGTTCTCAGACTAACAGTCACTCCATGTCCAGTGTTTCCTCTATTACCTAATACAGCGCCTATAAGTGACCTAAGTGAAATGAATATGATGCTTAACCCAATTTAGTCTTAAAACATTCATCATATTTAATGAACAACAGGAAATTATTTTTTATTATGTATGGTGTACTTTTTGTATCTAAGCTAATGTAAGAAATTTATTTCCAATTTTATTTGAAATTAATGAATACATATTTCATTTTCAAGTAGTAAATTTTTCCCGCTTTAAACTCCTAAGAAATCTGTTTTAAAAGCTGTATGTTTTTACATAATAATTAAAATCAGAAAGTAAAATTGGCAAGCAGTAATTTGTGAGCTATGTACTTGTTCTGTTTTTATCTTTGAGTGGTTATGACTAAAGGAATGGTTTAAAGTTCACCTTTAGCTGTAGCGTCTTCTCCAAGTTTTCAATCTTTCTCTCAGCCTTTTTAAGCTTCCTTAGCTCCTCGGAGTCCATGAAACTGCTCTTTGGGGACAAAGACCTTGAACGTTTCACAGGTGGCTCCTCGAGAATAAAACAAGGACATGGTTGAACTGGCTGAGACACTGGATTATGAAAGACATGCAAAATTAAAGAACAAGTAATTTTGAATACTAATAATGAATTATAAAAAAAAGTCCTGCATGGAATACCCGAGAAATAACAAGCGAAATTACCACAGTGCTACAGCTAAAGGTTTCTCTGTGACTCGTTAATGAGAATATTCATTTACATTTACATTGTTTCTTTCAGAATAATGATGTCCCATTAGGGAAGACTAAAGGGTTATAGACTCAGAAATGCAAGAAACCTCATTACAAAGGAGGGGATAGAGGCTGGTCTAATTGCTCTATAAGGGTCCAAGGTTACACTTGATAGGACAACCAGAAACAAGAGGGAAAGGATTTTTTCCCCTTTGAAATAGTTTAACACACTGTGAAGTTGAAGGAACAATATGCTTGAGGAATATAAATACAACAGACAGTAGATCTTATACCATAATGACCATATGGTCATTAACTGTAATGTGGCTAACTAGAGACAAAAATGTGTGTTTATATTATGTAGCTCCATATACCAATCTGGAGACAGAATGCAGGAAAATGACTATAAACCTGGCAGCAGCGTTCCCCTTTTATGCATGTCCATACAAAAAAGAAAAAGAAAATGTCTAAAACATGCCTCTCCTTCATTTTCTTGGCTGTCAAGATCCAAATAGTATATTTTCAAAATTCAGCAGTACAGCAAACAACCAAATGTGGATTTTTAATCTTATGAATGTTTTCTTTCACTAAAATAAGGCTTGAGAAACTACTTCAAAATGATAAGAGCTGAAAAGGGCAGAAGTGACATTGTGATAAATGAAAAAATCCACACTTCTGGAAAATATTAGCAATACTATAGGGCACAGATAAGAAAGCCATGGCTCCACCAGTCTGTCTCACTGAAAATGTCTCCTTTACTAAGACAGCTTGTTCAATCACTAAAAACTGGGAAGGAGACAGGAACCCCAAACAATCACCCTTAGCACAGTGTCTGTGCTTCCAGGAAGCACTGCTCATGTAACAGGTGTGAGGAGAAAACGGTCAAAACGCTGTCCTTTTAGGGAAAAGGTTACTTCAACATATCTATAACCTTTCTATGCTATGATACTTCTATAGCACTTAGATATTTCTATAGATATCTAAATATTCCATAGTATATTCTGCTGGACAACATAAATATATAGTGCATACCAGAAAATGAAATAAAAAAAGGAAACCAGAGAATATAAAAAGAAATATGCTGTATAAACTTTGCTGTTTTATCTTTATTATTATCCTTTAAATCTCTAAAAACAAAACAAAAACAAATTAAGGTTGAAATATTTTAGTATTTGATATTCCAATGTCCTGTACTTTACATATCATACAGAAACAAAAAATGGATTATAATATATATTTTACTTTTATTTAAAATTAGAAATTTAAGTAACTACCTTTTACAATAAACTCTATTAGGTAATTGAAGAATCCTTAACAAAAATTAAAGGTTTTTAGTTTCAGTATACCTAAGGAAGGAAATGCATGCTTCTCATTGCTTTCTGACTCCTCCCTTGCCTTGTCAGCCTCCTCCTGACAATGACTAAGATGATAAACATCTCTACCTTGCGTTTTCCTTCAATCCCCTTCTCTGAGAAATCCTGGTCACAAGATCTATTCTCCATTAACTTTTCATTTGCCACTTTCAGTTTCTTCTGTAAATACTCAATTTCAGACTTCTGTGAGATCATTAATGTTTCCAAGCTTGATAGCGCTGCCTGTTAAGACAACAGTTATTTTAACACTTATATATAAAAACTCATGTATGATTATATTTTACATCATCTGCAAATATAGGTATATTTCTATTATACCATATAAGCCACAAATACTCTTGGAAATAATCATTTAACATTATACTATGAGCTATGAGAGGTTGGAGGACAGTCCAGTCACTATACATACAAGGCCACGGGTCAGACTCCATGACCTAAACATAAATCTAAACTCCTTTTATCCAAACTGTATTATTTGAATGAAGTAAAATTTAAAGCTAAAAACCCAAGAATCTATACAAATGTATAAATAAATGGCAATATAAATAGTGTTGACATACATACTTAAAATGAAAAAACTTTACATTGAAGCGCCATAGCAAAAACCTATATCTATGCGTGTATTAATTATTATGAGCTTATAATTACAGACAAGTATCTCTTCACTGGAATTCTCCTTCTACCATCTGAACATCAGAAGTCACACGAGAGCCCAGAATATGAACCTAGGGAAGGAGAGTCCCAGCACCACGGAGTCTTTACCAGCCTATGAAATTTTAATAATCACACATCAATAAATCTGAGTCAATACACTGTTTAAGATTCTCTTTAGAAATCTGTTCATATCTCATAAACTATTGGTGTTTAGTCACAAATTTTAATATTGAGAACTATAGGTAACCTGCTTATGGAAACCACCTTTCTGTGATATTCTACCATTTTTCCTGAATGATTTGAAACCACAAAATTCATGTACAAATACTTCTCCAATTTAATCACTTGCTTTCCAAATGATAAATATTGAATAACCTTTTTAAAGGATTTATGTATATATTATTTGTGTCTGAGGGTATATGCAAGTACCATACACATAGAGGAGCCCTAGGGATGTTGGTCCAGAACATCTGATCCCCTAGGACTGTAATCATGTGTGACTGTAAAGCACCAGGCGGGGAACTGAATCTGGGTACTCTGCAAAGGCAGCACGCGGTCTGAATCCCTTAGCCATTTCTCCAGCCCATTATTGTTGATTTAGTCACACCAAAATGCCAAATCTTAGGATGTGACTATTACCAACATGGATCCAGTAGCCCTGAAAATATTTTTCATTTAAAATTATGCAAAGGCCCATTTATCCCAAATGATATTACTAAGAACTTTGACAACATATATACACAATTATGTATGTACATATATAATTTATGTGCATATCTGTGTATGTACATTCTGAACAAAGGTAATACTATTTTGTTCTTATTTCTGTTTTCTTTTGTAGCAGAATAAGAAAAAAGTCCATAGTCCTAACACATACTTTGAGGGAAGAGAGAACTACTTTACTTGTATGCCTTTATTGTTAGGAATCCTTTGCATTTAAATCACCTGATTAATGTCTAGGGGGTTAAATGTCTGGGGGGTTAATTTACCATACTGCAAACACTTCCCTCAGAGTTGTTTGTCTTGTTCTGCCAAAATCACACATCATTTTATTTTGAACACTAAATTAGTGTTTGAAGTGGCTAAAAATGGCTTAAGCTACTTTTCCTCTGGGCTAAGGAACTTGCCCCTTCTCGTCTTCACCATATTTTAAGCACCATGCTGTTTTAACTTTTTCCGTCCTATTAAAATCAAACATATTGTGTTCAAAAATATTTTTCTGCCTGACAAGCTAAAAACATTTAAAAAGTATGCTGCTCTTGTCCATGTCACCATGTATATGTGCATATATATGTACACACACACACACACACACACACACACACACTCACATATTCTTTTTTTCTTAATAGGGTTTCTCTGTGTAGCTCTGGATGTCCTGGAATCCACATGTAGACCAATCTAGCCTCAAATTCAAAGATCCATATGCCTCTACCTCCCAAGTGCTATTATGCAAAGCATGCATCACCACATCTGATTACAAGGGATATCTTAACTTCTTGTCATTTGCTAAATAGATTTTGAATAACTTTTCAAGGTTAACCAAATTTTATAATAAAACAGGAGAAGCATAATTTTAGCCTGTGAGTATATGCAATATGAAATCTGAGTGGTTTTTTAAAGTGAGTTTTTAAGATATTAGATTATAATAAGTGAAGATTATTTTAAAATTAGTATGCAATTATAAATAGCTCAATGTTCATAAAGACATAAAAATGTTACAAAAGCAGACACTGGCACTGCAATTATGTCTTCTTATATTATTTTCATTAATATTAGTGATATTTCTAATAATAAAAAGATGTTTAAACATTATTAAAAGTTCAACAAACAACTGCTAAATTTTGAAAAGAATGGCAATTCAAGTTTACATAGGATCTAGCAGATAACACAAGCAAATAAAATGGGTTGTACTCGGTTTTGAAATCATTAAGCAGAGACTTTTGTATCCATTATCTTATGTAATATTATTCATCTTTTTCTCTAATTATATAAATCATGTGTCCTTTAAATGAGACACTATCTCTTGACTCTCACCACTTTGACAAGCGCTATATTCATAATTTTTCACTTTTTTTCTTAAAACAACCATTTCTATGTGTAAGTAAAGTCTGGGCATGGTGCTGAGTACCTGCAACCTCAATACTTAGGACCGAAGACTTTGAGTATTATCCTAGTATACAACAACAATCCCTGGCTAACCTGGCCTGCACAGCAAGACTGTTCTAAAAAAATAAACTAACAAACACACAAAACAAAAGCATAAAACAACACGCTGTGTCAAACAGTCTACACTACTGTTGTAGTGTAAGGATTCATTCATGGTATTTCCACCTGATTGTCTTCAAGGGAAATACCACTCTCTACAGCTGGATCTACTTAACTCCCAAGAGAATCCCAGTTAAAGTTGTTCTCAATTTATGACTTCTATGTTTTAAGACATTGTGAGAGGAGTTTAATATGCTTTAACTTTCTAGAGAAATTTGAAAATATGCACCAAAGTCCATAAAAATACACTCAATATTATAATTATGCTAAAGACTCAGAAACGTGTCCATGATAATAAGCTGAGGAAGAAAGACCATGCAGCACACAGTGTGCCAGGCAAGAATAGAACATATTAAACATTTACAGTGTCAGAAATGTTAAGTGGAAAGATGAAGTGTGATTTTTCATACTTTTATGTTTTTTTCCAATGAATATTTCATTCTTTTTCCCTGTTTTCTGCAAATAAAAAGAATAAAAACATTTAAGTTTTAATTGCAGACTTTCAATGAAGAGGTGATAACAATTCTACCCTTTAGATGTACTTTTAAAAATCAATATCCATTCAACAGTATTTATAACAATCATTTACTTGTGCATATGAAAGGCCAAAGAAAAACTTGTGGAAGTTTATTCTTTTTCCATCCACGTGGTTCTGGAGATTGATCTCTGGCAGGTGATCTAGCAGCAAGCTCCTTTATTCACTGAGCCGTAATGCCAGTCCTCTGAGCCATAATGCCAGTCCTCAACGGACACTTCCAAGAACAGGTTTATTTATGTAGAAAGGTAATACGTATTTCCTAGAGCTCTTGTTTCTGTTGCCTTTCCCTACCCAGTTCTCCCTTCTGTTGATATCTTAAATTATGATGAACCAATATCCAAACATTGTTATTAACTACACAGTCTACCCAGTTTTTCTTATCATTTTACTTTAATGTCATCTGTATTTCAGTTTCCCATCTGGGACATATTACATTTGGTTGGCATTTCTCCTGAGGCTCCTCTTGATGGTACCAGTTTCACAAAATACCCTTATTTCAGATGAGCTTGATTGATCATTACATGATGTACCTCCCTCAGACTCTCATCTTCAAAATACTCTAGGGTCACGAGTTTTGGAGAGAAAGATAATACAGGTAGTGTGTCTCTGTCAGTGCATCCATGTTCTGATGCTACAGCAGAACATCTGGAGGTGCATCATCTACATGAGGAAAAACAGCTTAGTTATCACAGGTTTGGAAGCTGAAAGCCCTGGAAAAAGGGTTCCAGCTTTGAAGACAGCCTTCCTTGCCATACCACATCATGGCAGATAGCAACAAGGCAAATTACCTTCTAAAGAAACAGACCAAATGTAAGACAGAAAGCCAGAGTATCACGTTCTTATTTTTTTTAAGAGTTTCCCTGTGTAGCCTTGGATATCCTAGAACTCTGTAGACCAGGCTAACCATGAAGGAGATTCACCTCCCTCTGCCTCTCAAGTGCTAGTATTAAAGGCAAATACCACTACTACCTGACACAAGTTCCTACAAGAACAGTCTTTGACTGGTCCCACAAAAACTACACCAACTCCTTCCAAGAACAACATCCCCAATAGCCTAGTTCTCTCACCATCCCCACTCAAAGGTGTTGTGCTTCTAACATCTCCACACTCAAGAACAAGTACATAACAAATGAATCTTGGAAGATAAACCATAAACAAATCACAATAGCTAGATACTATCTACAAGGCTTTGTGACTACAGATAGGGATCGTGCTTACCTCAGTAAAGTACTAGTTATTACATTACCGAATTATACATTCATTCTTTACTCATGTTGGACTGTATCTTGACCTACTCCTTTTCAAACTTAACAATATTGAATACAGAAACATATAATTGTTTGTATATACATAGTACATATATTATGGTTTCCATCCTTATCTATCATCATGAATCTCTTTCTTCTTTAAGAGCTGTTTAGATACATAACAAAATTGAGTTAGGAAACCAATGGACTTCTTTATGGAAGTCTGTTCTTAAAAGAAAACCCTTAACCTCTTAGAACTTTTGATCTTAGAAATAATTACTTTATAACTTTTTCTATAATAAAAAGTCTTGGGATACATTTTAGTTTATTTTCTTGTAATACAATGGTACAGTGTGAGGTCATAGTTAATGTGATAAGAAGCAATCAGAGGAATATGTATGTAAAAACCTACAGTTGGAAATAATTCCCATTTTGATTTGGTGGTAAAGATTGAAACCAAGGCCCTGAGTCTGATAAATAAATGCTATGCAATACCTTTACAAATTGGTCCTTAA